AGATAGAAGCTGCCCCTCCCACGTCATCTATATGGAGAACTGCATGCAGGTTTGAATAAAGCTTCCTATTAGGACTGCATTAACGTGGTCATGTCCATACTGCAAACACCTAAGGTCTCTGATCCGGCACAATTTCAGCTTTTTAGGAGAGTTTTAAACTGCTAACGTGGATTGCAGTAAAGAAAAGATGGAGCTCTAATGTCCATTCTGAAAAATGGATATAAATGTAAAGCCTCCTGGGTCTGACTCAACAGCAGCTGCGTGCAAAAACTGTCCTGAATCCATGAGCCAGCTGTACGAATAGGCGCCTTCAACAGTGCAGAGTTATCTGAATATCAAAACAGCCAATTACATTCTGTAAACCAAGCTCACAGGGTGTGTGCTTTTTACATGTGGTTTCAGTAAGATGTATCCATAATCATAGAGACTTGTAGAATAGTGTCTAAGACATTCCCATAACATGTAATAGGAATTTGGGAATGTATTTAGAATGTTTATTTAGACCCTCCTTAGGCTTTAGAAAACACCGTTTGGGGCATTCCATGGCTAAGAACGACACTTGTCTTTCATCAAAACTCTGAAACATTCTGCATTGCTTAGAAATAGTCAATTAGCCCAGCTGGTGCAAACACACACACCTCCAGTGACTTCATAAACCTGCATAATTTTACATTAGAATCTAACAGCAAACTCATTGTGCTGATTTTTTGAAAATATAGAAAAATTTGCTTTTGAAATCACAATGTTCTCGTAAATTGTGCTGTAATGGTCATAAAAATACTGAAAGGCTACTAAAAATATGTTCTATTTTGGGACAGCCATAAACTAGTAAGAGAATTTTGTATTCAGTGAGAAAGAGTTCATAAGAGATTTTTTTTTCTTTTTTTACCTGAAATGTAGTGATCCATTATTTTCCCTGTATGAAGTCAGGAAACTGATGACTTTAAGTAAAGAAGCCTGACTTCATGTAAAAATCGAGCCCACAGATTTGCCCCAAATCTACCCAAAATAGCTATTAAAGTGAGACATAAAGAAATGTTACTGGGAAGCAAAGAGTCACCTGCACTACAGCAGTTATTGGCCATGGTAACAAGTGAGTAGTCATGAAGTTAAACGTACGGAATCGGTTTAGCCCGAAAACATTTAACCACAGATTTTGCCATCTTAACTCTGAATGCACCCTGTCAAAAATGCTCTTTCCGCAAATGAAATATTGTGGTACACAATTATCTTGTGGGTTTTTACTGTCATGGTGAGTCTTTTTCCCAAATAATATAGTGTGCTTTTAGAACTTAATTGTCAGGCTAAGTACAAAACATAAAGAATCTGGGCTTACTGAAACAGATATGAATAAAGGCTAAGTCTATAGCAAGATCTATAACAAATCAGAAAGTGCAGACAATTTAGGTAACTGCGTGCTGCCTGCAGCCTCTGTAACACTGCAGTGTTCTGAAGTGTAACAGCTGGTAAGACTTGCTGACTAGAAACCGAGTATTTCATCATGCAAAACAAGTGAGATCCAGTTTGTATACAACCAGTTCAATTTAATACACGGGAGCTGTGAAACTTGTGGTACTGCTCTTGACATGTTTATGTGTGTAGGGAGAGTTTTTCAAAAATACAATTACTAAAGCATCTGTGTGCCTTCAATGTGTGTGTTACCATCTTTTGAAATAAAAGTTTGAGAAAGACTTGGAGATGATGCTGGTCAGCTAAACTAAATCAAATAATCAGTTTGGTTAAACTTGGTTAAAGAACATGTTATGTTCTGGGTATTACTGACTGATTGCTGTTACTGATACTGTAAGTATGAATGTGTCATGTCATTAAACTTAACTAAACTGTATTTACCTTTATTATTAAGAAACTCTATTTTCACAGTGTTACTTACTAATAAAGAGCATGTTCTCTGCTTGGCAAAGTGCATCCTTAGCATGTTACTGACATGGCTATGAGCTTGTTTTTCATTCCAGATAACAGTAAAGGACTAAACCAGTATGAGTTAGTGGTATTCCATGTTTCCTTTTGATCACAATTTTAGAGTGCATTTCATTTTCACTGATGAAGTATTACATTGTGCTACGTATGTAACAGCTAAAGTTATATCTTTTCTTAAAAGCTGTCTCATAAAATGGAGCAAGAGCCTCATATCACGTAACAAGGAGTGGTGTGATATAAGAATTCCCAAATCCAAGTGGCACATAATAAACTGGAGAAAAATGATAGCCTCAAGAGCAAAAACACAGTGTACATTACCAAAAGGGGTACCCATTTGCAAGTATACTGTGCTAATAAAATGCTGTTTAAGCATTTTACGAGTAAAAAGTTGATGGCTATTTTCATGAAGCTCTGAAGTTATCAAACTGCTGTAAAGAACTGACCAAAACTCTGACAGCCTTTGTGTTCACTTACACCTTGCTCTCGAGTAGATTTACTGAAAGCACAGGAATACTCAGAAGAGTAAGGTCACGAGTCAGTTAACTGGATTCTTTATGTTTTTACTGGAAGTGTGGTTTATGACAAATCTTTCTAAAATCTGTAATAATTGCTTGGCGTTACATAGCAAGCATCTAACAGATTATGCACTAGTTTGACAACATCAGGCATGCCTAGACAATGATAAATGATCCTACCGGCAGAATCAGCCTGATTTGTAGAATATCTCTAATTCTTATAATTCATTAAATTGCTTGAGGCTACAAAACCATTAATGTATCCACTGTTAATTCACTTACTGGTATAATTAAGTGTTAGTTTCTGGAATCTAAGCTGATGTGTGCACTAACAATAAGAATGTTTGCTGGTTATGAGATGTACTGTGCAAAAATAACATAAAATCTTTTTTAAAGTGCCTGGAAAGGTAAGTAAATATTTACAATATTTCTGTATCTGTCCTTTATTCCAAGGGATCTTCTAAAATCTTTTTAGAAGATCTTGGCCTTTGCCAAGGCCTGCACTTCAGTACTTTTTGCCTACCTTATGTTACACAGATATTCCTAAACAATTTCCACTCCTTCCTGTTCTCTGACTCCCTTTGACTTAACCTTCTTACACCTTCCTTGGCTGATATAACTACCTTTATGAGTCAATTTTCATAAAGCTAGTTGCTCCATGCTTTTTTTTTAAATCTTTTTTTGGCTTCTGCTGAAAGACTATGTGTTCCTAGAACCTTCTCCTTAAAAAAAAAAAAAAAAAAAAATTAAGTTTGCACTGAATCAATGGAAAATGCCAACAATTTTGAACTTTTTACAGATATGACTATGGATGATGTTCGAGAATACGAGAAAAATATGCATGAAAAAACCAACATTAAAGTTTGCAACCAACATTCATCTACTGTGGATGAAATAGAGAGCCATGCCAAAGCAAGAGTATGTCAATTTTCAAAACATATTGCCCATCCTCAGCTAATACACCTGCCCAGATCAGAGAAGAGCATCCAACTGATCTTGCTGACCAGTCGGTGGAATTTTGGGGAGGTTTTGCTTCAGTAGGAACAGAATCTTTCTCCACGTAGTGCAATCCTGCCTTTCGCTTGCACTGTAACTGCCACTGATGTAAGAAAGGGTGGGGTTGGGCTCATATACAGCTCCGTTTCTTCCAGGAAAACACAATTCTCAAATTTCGGTTGGATGCATAAAGAGGAAGTTCAATAGGAGTTTTGCTTTCTGTTATTTGAATAGTTAAAAAATGCAGGAGTTCAGAGCGCTTCAGTCAAAAAGCCGGGAACATGGGGAGTGGAAAATTTCAATTGAACTGGTAAAATTATTTGCTTCACCAGGAAAAAAAAAAAAAAAAAATCTAATTCACCCTTTTCAAAGTAATGTTAATGTTGTCATTGACTAGCTACCAGCAAGGTGAGAAGTATTTTCAGAGGTATGTAACAGCAGTTTGTGGAGAAGGGCAGGTTTCTGTGCAGGTTCTTTGATTCAGATTCTGGAAATTTCACAAAGTATTTAAGTTCCTAATTTGGGCACTTCAAGTAGAGGCCTAAAATTAGCAATTTTTACAATCTGCAAATAGAAAAGATGCAGTGATATTTGCTTTTGAAATGTTGTTATTCCATTATTTCTACTAACTGCACTGTAGAACTCGTGATGGTTTTACTCATGCAACAAGTGGGGGCAAAGCCTGAAGGGCTTGAAGTCGTTCCTTTGTTCTTGCTCAGTAAAAATTGCCACCAGCCGGGGAAGAAGCTGTTTAAGTCATAACCAGGAGGGTGATTCTTGTGTTTGTAACGCTGCAGCTCCGTTGACATCAAGGTTGCTTCTTAGCTGAGCAGTAAATTGAGAATCAGTTCTGACTTTGGCTCTGTACTTCAGGATTTGGCTTTGAATGAAGCCTGCCCGCCTTCACTCCCATGTGGAAAAATTGCCATTGAGGTCAGAACAGGACTTGGTAGAATCATAGAATCGTTTAGGTTGGAAAAGGCCTTTAAGATTATCAAGTCCAACTGCTAACCTAGCACGGCCAAGAAATTTGTAATTAATGAAAAAAAAAAAGCGAGACTGAGCCTTCTTAGCTCAGGGTAAGGACTTGTTTTACTTGAGTGTGTATCAGATGGAATTTAAAGCAAGTAAAAGCTAAAAAGCAAAAGTCAACTGAAGGGACAATATGTCATGTCTGAATTTAAAATGAACATTCTTGGAGGCTACCACTTAGCACGACTTTAATCAGTCTCCACTGAAATGGCCAGTAAACTGAGAAATCTTCCAGTCCCCTCTCAGTTATCCAGACAGCTTTTGTTTCAGGTGGTACAGAAGTCCTCCTTCGAAAACAGCTGAAATGAATGCATGGGCTCCCTTTGATGTCAGAGTGCTTTTAAACCCTTTTGAGTTCAGAAACACTCCACACACTGTGAAAGGGTGTGAGACAAAATGTAAATCAGCAAAACAAGTTCAAATCTATGCCCAACACAAGTAGGTACAGTTCCTCCGAGACCATCTGTTTATTTCCACCACTTATCTCAGATTTGAAAACAGCTTAGTCCTCACTCCTAATAACTGGCAGCGTAGGCTGGAAAAGTCCCTGGAATGTCGTCTGCAGGGGAGAGAGAAGGCAGCTGGCAACGTGCGTGCTTTTGTTTATTTAATATGATGTTGTAATACATCGTGAAGCTTCTTCTGCATAACTTTTGCAGCCAAGGCTACAGATGTGTGCAGCTGGGTAATATTAAAAAGTATCAATGTACTGGAAGTGCAGGATTTTGTCATATGTATGGTAAGCACCACAGCCAGCCCTCTGTCTCAGACACCAAAATGTGCGAGAATTTTAAATTGATTAAAGTGCTAATGGTTTTATTTCTGGGGGTTTTTTGAGCTTTCAGACCTCAAAGAACCTATAAACTGGTTTAATGAAATACTTCAAATTTACAAATTTAACGTGACGTTTAGTGAAAACCATGACATTTGTTTCAGTGGGCTCAGGGACATCCTGCAGGCAATGCAGACGTGAAGCAGCAGGTTTCAGAAGAGTCTTGCTGGTTTTTTGCTCAGCTTCCCAGTTTGCAGCCGATGTCATTCGTTTGGGATTTTATGGAAAAAGTTTTGCACGGCTCAGCTCGGAGCACGTCTATGCTGGGGTCGCTCTGCCCTCTTGTGGGTTTTTACAGCACTGTGACACATTTGTCACCTGCGTGAGGAGACCCACTCACTGCTTTCCGTGGACCCGATTTTCCATTGCAAAGTGGCTTTAACCTCTCGTCTCATTTTGCCTCTATTTTTGCAGGGAATTAAGCAGTGGATTTGTCAGTTGGCTGTAAATGTTTACGTACAGATTCTGGAGGGAAAAGTTGGAAAGCATGTTGTGGCTTTACCAAGTGAGAGGGAATGCTTTGGTAGTGTAAAAGCGGAACGGCCTCAGTGGTGGGCGTGCAGCTGCAGCTAGAAGTCACTGGAAGCTCCGCATGGGGGGAGAGAGAGTTTTTCATCCCTTGATAATTACAGCGGACGAACAAACCGATGACAAAATCTTTCCCTGCTCGTGCTCATAATCTAAATGAAAAATAAACCCCAAACCCCTATCAGTTTTGTTTGAAGTTCTGAAAAATTCTACGTGCTGACTGTGTATCTAAATGTAGTCTTTAATTGCCTGTGAAATAGCTTGATTTTTCCAGCAATTACAGAGGTAGCCATCTTAATTCAGTTCAGACCCAGGTAGCAGAAGAACCATTAGTATGTGATTAATGTACTTGAGTTCATTTCCTTTACCTTGGCCGCTTATTGTGCTCCAGTCAATGCATTACAATAGGAAGGCGTTCATGTGGAAAATCGCTTAATGATATGCATGATAAGCAATCATTCCCTGATTTAGAATTTGGATGTAAGGAGTTTAACTGAGTTAATGAAGTGATCATTTGAAATGATTCTAACGTGCCTTTACCTTTCTTTCCTTCTTGTTGAAGACATGACAATGGATGAAGTCCGAGAGTTTGAACGAGCAACTCAGGAAGCTACCAACAAGAAGATTGGGATTTTCCCACCTGCAATATCTATCTCTAACATTTCCATGCCTTCTTCAACCCGCAGTGCTCCATCTAGTGCTCCGTCAACTCCTCTCTCCACAGATGCTCCTGAATTCCTAACAGTTCCCAAAGACCGGCCTCGGAAAAAGTCTGCTCCAGAAACTCTCACTCTTCCAGATCCAGCGAAAAAAACCTTTTAAATTAACCCAGCATGTTTCCTCCTGATAAGCCATGTCTACCGCAGCAAGAGTGACGTAACTCAATTTTTACAAAGGTCATGGTGGTTTGTTGGTTGTTTTTCTTCTTAAAATAATCTTACTGGTGTGGAAAGATTACTTCTTTCCTCAGACTTGATCCTTAAAACCTTCAGAGAAGTGCATGCAAGAGAACGTAGTTTATATATTCCTAAAGTAGTGTTTCAAGCCATATGGTGCATCTTACTGACATACAATGAAATAGTCTGAGGGGAACCCTACAAAAGAAAATAAATCTTTCTGTAGCAGTATTCTACCTACAAATCCTCATCTAGGTCATAGTATTTATAATTAGGAGTAGGTATTTAGTAAAGCTGCCAAGGACTTCTGGGGCAAATTAGTGCCAACTAGAATGCAGGGTTAACAGGAAAAAAACCCTCCCGTTTTCTTCTTTTATAGCCAATTTTAAAATCCTTCCTACTCTCAGGCTTCTCCTGTGTATTCATAAACCTTTGACCTGTAACTCATTGTACTTGAACACCAACAGCAATCACTCAGATTCACGTTTTGCTTAATATGACTCAGGATTTGGGGCCTAGCTAACAAACAAAACTTTTCAAACCTAAAATATCACTGTATTGAAGCCCCAATTGTAGTTAATTATACTGACTTTGAGGCCATTGAACTATTTCTATCTTGCACAGAATTTGTAAAAGAAACCACCTATTTCTTGTAGATAATGTATTTTAATAGCTCTCCCTTGTCCTCTTGTGATCTCTTCAGTCCATATTGGTGTTCATCAATGGTGTTCCATGTGTAGGATTGAAAAAAAGCAGCTAAATGGAGCCAGTTGAGAAGCAAAACCAATGAATTCTGTCTTTTCCTCACTGGAAGAAGAGTGGTAGTTACGCTGTAAGACCTTGAATGTAAAGGAAAGAAAATACGAGACTTCTTTTTCTTTCCTGCCTCACATCTTTTCTAAACAGCACAATCTCTGCTAACAGAAAGCTGGTTCCAGGCTTTACCATCGTCTAGGGAAGGGGTGAAAATCAGTCACTTCAAAAAGCAAATGAATTGTGGGGCTGCTCGGTCCTGTGTAGGGTGACGTTAAGGAAACAGAAGTGCTCTTCCTGATCTGCGTGTGAAATCACTCTTCAATCTCAGGAATTAAAATGTAGAGAAGGATATTTCCCAGAAGGGAAGTGTAGACTGTGGAAGGAGGAAAGAAATAAATGGCAGAAGTGGTCTCTTCCTTCCTTCCTTTTCAAAATGTAAGCTCAGTGAGAAACTTTCCCCACTGACCCCCACTTCGGGTACTTTGTTCTCTTTCAGACAAATTGCTATTTAATGAATGCTACCAGTATCTGTCTGTTGGTAGCTGTAGTAGGCATTAAATAAGGCACTGTTCAATCCCCAGTGAACGACAGCTATTGCCTGAATCATATGATCAAAGTGGGTGATATTTTATACCACCGGTGATATGGTACATGGAGGGTTTTTTTAAAAAAAAGAGAGTCCTCCAGAGCTGAACTATCATTGAATATTGAACAATCAGTTTGGGGATGCCCTTTTACCTGGACGGGACGTTTGTGCCATCTTCTCAGCACAACGCTGTGATTTGACTGGCTTAAATGCACTGAACTTCTCAACGGCTGTAGGTCCAGTAGCAGTTACGTTGAATCTGTGCTGTTTATAGGGTAGCGTCAGTAGCAGAAGAAGTAATTCCACTGCCAACCTGCACTGAGAACAAGTGTATGTTTGATAGTCAAAATCCTGTAGCTAGGAAAATGTGGGAGCTCTTTGTAGGTTAGCTGTGGTCTGACTTCATGCATTCTCCCACTTACTGGCCAGGTTTTGCTTTGCTTTGCTTCTCGGATCTAGTAATTCTGTGTGATTAGTAAACTAATGAGTGATGATTTTTTTTGTTTAAAAAGAAGCCGCTGTAATGATGCAAACAAAACTTTCCTGCATTGGTTTATGAGTTCAGCTTAAAAAATGTGCAGATCATATATTCATGATTATAACTGGTCTAAGCTTTTTATTATTATTATTTATTTAATAGCAAGATTGGAACATGGGCAGAGAAGGGAGACCTTTGAAAACATAAAGCATTGTTTGTTTTTTTCATTTCCTCAATTTGACCTATATACCAAGAGTTTAGGACTGCTCCACTGAAAGTCTGTTTTTCAATGAATTTTTTCATTGTCAAAGGAAAATTTGCTGAGCTCTAGGCATAATGTCCTTATTTTACATATTACCATTTCTGTATGTATTTTGGCATCCGGGTTTGACACAGGTTATTAGACGAAAGCAGTCATACCTTTACTTGTATTTAACTGATTCATTTCCAGTCCTGTGTGGGTACAGTGATTGTCATATTAAGTCAGCTTGGCGATAAGGCATGTATGAAAATTATTAACGTACCCGAATAGGACACATCGTAATCGCTGCATGACAGGTGTAGGAGAGAGGCCCTGGTCGTGTCATGGAAAAAATGAAAGACTGCTTAATGCCGTGTCTCCGACTGCATGTGCTGCTGCCGTAGCCCTTCCACCGAGCAGTGCTGTTCTCCAGGAGTGACAGATTTATTGACCAAACAGCCTGAATTCACCGCTGGCCACAAGAAGGATCACAACCTCCATGTCGCTTCCTAACGAAGGCAAATAAAAAGATCTGTAATGTTTCATTACTTTGGGTAAGAAATACCCCAGGCTTTTCCTTGCCTGTGTAAGGACCCTCTGCTGTGTTGTGCTTTGCTTTCCCCACCAGTCACTACCCATTTGGTCAATATCATCTTTAAAAATCTTTTTCTTTTGGTTATTTTCTGTTCGTTTCTTAGTTTTTGAAAATAGGAAAACATTTTCTAGAATATTTCCAGCAAACACTCAAACCCACACAAAATTAAATGAAAAGGAAGGTCTGAGTACTTCAGTGTAACCTCTTGAGGCAAAGGGGTTGTTTTCATTACTGATTTTTTTCACAGTGCTTTCTGTTGTTTTTTCAAACATGTTTATTAGGAGAAACACAGTGAGCGTTTTGCAGGTGCTCTTCACTTCTTTTGCAAAAATGAATGATGTGATTATTTAGTGACTAGGTCTAGAGTAGGGTGCCATGCAGCAAAGCTGAACAGGCGCACTAGCCGTGTTCTGTTCTCTGCCAGTGGCTGAAGAATTCCGTGATACAGCTCTGCGAGGGCTTGGCAAGGAATTCTTCATGAAGGAGAATACAGTTCAGAGCCAACAATGTGAGGAGTTTGTTTGGGTTTCTATTAAAACTTCCTCCCAGCTTTGCTTGTACTTTCAATGTGTTTCATATAGAACAATCATTACCAAATAACTGGCAGTTCATTGCAGTCTTCAGAAGGGCAGATCTCCTAATGAATTAAAGAAGGGAGCCATCCATAAGGACTATGAGGAGCAGCACATTCCTGAAACACGTACTTAATAAGACTTCTTATGAATGTAATGGTTAATCTTGTAAATGACTGGATAAATCCTATGGAAAGAAACTATTTGACCTTATTTTTTGGCTTTTTTGATTATTCTGGAGGGTGATTTTGTGACATCTAGTAGCCAATTTGCATTAATTGCTGCTGTAGAGATTTTGAAATGGAAATACGTGTTCCTTGAATTTTAGTTTGTAACAAGACGGCTATATTTTGTTAAAACCGCTTTGAAGCTTGCTGCACTGTAACTTCAAAACAATGTGCTATCATTTGAAATAAGCCAAATGTATATGCTTTTTATGAATTAGTGAGTGCAGTAAGAGAGAATTCATGATCTTGTCAATAGGAGCTTTTTTGTTTCCATTGTTTGGACTTGGTTTTATATGTGTAAGTTAAAATTGCTAAAGAAGTCTAACAATGTTTTGCTTTAAATGAACAGCATGGTCATTGAATTACAATCTCCTGTAGTTTTGTGCTGTCACTGAAACAGGTTTCGTTGGTTTACTTCCTTTCTGTGATAATTCCACGTGAAATGTCCAGTAATTCATTTCTTTGATTTAGAACAACGATGGCTACATCAGACAATAGATCACTACCATCAAAGAAGGACCAAGTTTTGAAACGCTCTGCATGTTAAATAATGCAAGGCTCAGCAGGAGAATTTGAATCAGTCATATTTCTCACTCACATCACTTAGTTTCTGATTTTTCCAAGTTATTTATTATTTTTAATATTGTATTTTTCCTTGCATTTTGTTGTAAATAAACTAGCAACAATTATTCTTTACAATTGTGGCTATTTTCTTTTTACTAGGTTTCCTCTAGCAAGGAACATATCCATTAACATTTCTACCCCCAGCTCTGCAAGTCACTTCCTGAAAATTAAATAGCTCAAAGAATTGGCTTTGTAAGGAAGATTTAAACCACTTACAACATCTACTAGGTTTTGTGCCTCAGCTTTTCAAAGATTTTATCAGGGCAGGTGTCCCATCAGTCTGGTGTTAGCCCATTCATTTGTAAATGACCATTTGGTTGACAAGGAAGTTTTTCAGTAGGGAATCTAATTCTCTATGCAGGGTTTGGCAGGCCAGTGTTGTAGTAAACGCTGAAAAATACTGGAAGAGAGACTCAAAACCTCAGACTAGTCTTCAAGTCATTTGATTTTAGCCAAAAGAAGTTTCACACGTACGATTCTTTAAGCTTTTAAGCAGAGGCTTACTCCATAGAAGTAAAGCTTTCTCTGCACCAGAGAAATGGTAGTTGCTCACTTGGTATAGAGATGCTTCACAGCAGCGTAGGACGGGACACAAGGAACAAACATAGGCCTAGAAAATATCTGAGGGAGAAATCACGCAGCTCTGCGTGCCTCGGGCCTGCAGCAGTGGCTCCAGAGCATTAAGCCCCTGTTGGGGTGAGCGTGCTGGAGCCGTGCCTGCAGGCAGCGGGGACTCGGGCGAAGTCTTTACCACAGGAGTGAGGTTGTGGCTGTCCTCCACGAGGCAAAATTACGGCTGGATTCTCCAGCTGGCAGATATGACAGTGGCAAGCCCCCAGAATTACAGTGCTGGCAACGCGTGTTCCCCAACGTATCGGTCAACAGCAAGCACAGTAACACGTGTAATGATTTGGCCTGACCTGATTTGATGTTGTTTTGGTTTGATGTTTTTTACAGTTTGGGTTTGAATTGCTAGGACTTCATTATAATCTGCACACGAACAAAATACTAACAC